CATCCTGTTTCATCCTTAGTCTACTTTCAGCACACATCTCCCATCGCAGCGATTCCTCCAATCATTGACTTAGTGATCCCTTCTCCATCCCAACTGCCTTTTCCCCCAGCACATGAAACTGGCTTCCAAACAGCGGAGTGATCCTCCTGTTCTTTGTGTCTACTGTCCTTAGGTGTTAGTCTCATATTATTTTATATTCCACAAATGAGTGCAGTCATTCTATGTCTGTCCTTCTCTTTCTGACTCATTTCACTTAGCATGACACTCTCCATGTCCATCCACTTATAAGCAAATTTCATGACTTCATCTCTCCTAACAACTGCATAGTATTCCACTTGGCACATAGATGTGCTAAGTTTCTTTAACCAGTTGTCTGTTCTTGGACTCTTGGATTGTTTCCAGATTCTGGCTATGGTGAAGAGTACTACAATTAACATAACAGTGCAGATGTCATTTCTACTGTGCTATTTTGCATCCCTGGGGTATATTCCCAGAAGTGGTATTGTTGGGTCATATGGGAGATAAATTTCTAATTCTTGGAGGAATATTCATATTGTTTTTCAAAAAGACTGTACCAGTCAGCATTCCCACAAACAATGAGAGTTCCTTTCTATCCTCATCCATGCCAGCACTGGTTATGCTTGTTATTTTTTATGTGAGCCAGACTCTGTGGTATGAGATAATGTCTCATTGTTGTTTTGATTTGCATCTCCCTGATGACTATCGATGTGGAGCACTTTTTTCTTGTGCCTTTTGGCCATTTGTATTTTTTTTTAGGAAGTTTCTGCTTATTTCTTCTTCCCATTTTTTGAAGGGGTTGGAGGTTTTTTCTTTTAAAGTTCTACCAGTGTCTTGTATATCCTGGATACTAACCCTTACCTGATGTGTACTGCGTAAATAACTCTTTCCATCCCATGGGCTCTCTCTGTATTTTGGTCACTGTTTCTTTTGAGGTGCAGAAGTTTCTTAGTTTAATGTAGTCCCATTTGTTTATCTTTGTTCATTTCAGGACTTTATTCTTGCATGCTTTATGGCTTTTTTGACAAGGAAGTTTGATATAATACAAAATCAGACATATTGATCCTTTTCTTTTTCACCTTGAGTCCTCACAGTCAGTCTTGGTTGATACTTTTTTGTTCCGAAATCCACTTACTCCTGAGAGAGACAGAAGGAATGTTTCAAAGAGAAGAACAGAAAGTTATTCTGTTTAGGCCCAGATAACTTTGGGAAACCCCCGGGAGTGGGAGAAACCCCTGCCCTTAAAGTTGGGCGTGGGGGCCGTGACCACAGAGTCCAGATGAGACCTTGAAAGGCTGAAAATCACTCAGCTCAGCGGTGAAAATGCATGCATAGCTCAAGAAATTTTTTCTTTTCAAAAACTCTTCATTATAGAAACAATGTGCTTGTTATCCAAATTTCTTTTTTTTTTGTTGTGATCCAAATTTCTAACTTTACAAAAGCTGATTTTAAAAAGATTCTTTCCAGATTTCCTCCTGGGAATTGAAGACATGACAGGGGAGTTCTCTTAGTCTAGTCAAATTCTACCAGATGTCCTCTCTTATATATGTTAATGATATTACAGTGTTATATAGTGTAGTGCAGGGAAGGGTGGTATACTGCAGTGTATTATGACTATGGTATGGCATGGGGTAGTGTGGTATGCAATGATATGGTATTGTATGGCATGGTATAGTATAAAGTGGTATGATATGGTATAGTATGGTATAGTACAAAAGCTATGATACAACACGGGCCATTCTTTTTTTTTTTCCTTTTCTTTTTGGATCACACCCAGCAATGCACAGGTATTACTTTACTCCTGGTTCATACACTCAGGAATTACTCCTGGCTGTGCTCAGGGGACCATATGGGATGCTGGGAATTGAACCCAAGTCGGGTCTCATGCAAGGCAAACACCCTATCACACCAGCCCCGGGCCATTCTACTTAAAGGTAGCACTGTCCTCCCGTTCATTGATTTGCTCGAGTGGGCTCCAGTAATGTCTCACAACAAATTGTGAGACTTGTTATTGTTTTTGGCATATCGAATATGTTTCAGGTAACTTGCCAGGTTTTGCCGTGTAGGCAGATACTCTCGGTAGTTTGCCGGGCTCTCTGAGAGGGGTGGAGGAATCAAACCCGGTTCGGCTGCATGCAAGGCAAATGCCCTACCTGCTGTGCTATTGCTCCAGCCCTATTTAAAGGTATTTTTAATAATATACTTGTGTCAGGAAACATATTACTTCCTGATATATGGTATTATATGACATTTCCTGGTATAAATATACTATAATTGTAGTTGCTTGCAGTTTTTCTTACTAAAAATACTACAACAAATATGCTCCATAGAAGCTGGAAAGATAATACAACAGGGAGTGCGCTTGCCTTGCATGCACTCTAACCAGGTTGGACCCCTGGAATTCCATATGTTCTCCTGAGCACCACCAAGTGTAGTCCAAAACCAAAACAGAACAAAAGCAAAGACAAAAAACATCCCCCCCCGGACCAAAAAATAACAGAAAACAAACAAACAAATATCCTTGAACAGAATTTTTGCATATTGATGAAATCTTTGTATAGGACAAACTTCAAAAATCAGAACACTGTGGAGAGACAGGCTACTTTCCCTTTCCTTGGGGAGGCACAGCTGGCAGTGCTCAGAGCTATTCTTCTGGGGCTCAGAGTCCAGTCTTGGCAGTGCTGGGGGACCATGTAGAGTGAGGCCCAGGGTTACCACAGGCAAAGGATGTGTCTAGACCTCCAGCCCTTTCTGTCATCTCCCGAGACCCCTCAAAGTACATGTTAAAGTTTGGTCGTAATTTTTGATTTCTGACCTACAGCCGACACATGACTCCAGTCCATCCCTCTGTACAATACTGGGGGAGTGGACTGTCATTGGTTTCCAGTTTTTGCCAATCTGAAGGTGAAACATGGAATTCATCATGGGAAACAGATATTTGATCCCTGAAATAATGATTAGACCTACTTTTTTTTCCAACTTTACAATTGTGTGAAAGCAATATGCCTTTATTAAAACAGTATTTTGAATTCTGAAGCATTATTTCCTTTCCTGACCCCCCCCCCCCCCCCCGGTTAAATCTTACCAAACTCCTTCACTGTGTTCTTGGCGGCAGCAAGGAGCTCAGATCTAACCTCGTGATCACAGGGAAACTGCTGGCACCCAACAGTGCACAGTGCAGGAAAGGATGTGGCTGGGTCTTTTGAAGGGCATACAACCATTTCTGACTTCTAGGGTTTATCAGGACATAATCCCACTGTAAATTGAGGAGAAAGATATGTATGTTTGGGATCACATAAGAGATTGTCTCAGACATGTACTGATATTTCTTCTAGTAAAGCATTCCATCTGTGAACTGCTCATGTATATGCTTTGTCCATCATAGAAAATAAAACAAACTGAGTTTGGAGGACTGGAGAGATATACAGGGGTTAAGGCCTGGCCTTGCATATGACTAATCCAAATTTGATATGTGTACCCTGGATTCCTCCCAAGCACTGAAAGACTCAGGGGCCAGAGAGATAGTACAGTAGGCAGGGCATTTGCCTTGCAGGCAGCCAGCCTGGGTTGCATCCTCAGCACCATATATAGTCCTCTGAGCACTGCCAGGAGTGATCCCTGAGCACAGAGCAGGAGTAAGCCCTGAGCACAGCCCGGTGAGGCCCTCACCCAGCATTGAATCATAAAATTGGAAATTTTCTTTAAAAATCTGTCTGTGAGGATCCCCCTTTCCCTAGAATCTGGCCTCTGGGCACACTTTACTGGGGGCACCAATCTATGCCCCATGTCAAATGTTTCTCTTTTCTCTGTTCTCTCTTCTGTCTGGACTCCCACCGTTTCCTGCATGCATCATTCTTCCTGCATTCACCACCGAGTGGGCTGCACGCAGCTCGTCTTTTCTTCCTTCACCATCCATTGAATTTGCTGTCTTAAGTGTTTGGGGATCATTTGTTCTGGTTGTTTGATTGTTCTTCTCAGTTTCCATGCGTTTTGTTTGTTCTCACATTTTTATTTGTCTGTGAATTGCAATCTTAACAACATTGCAATATTAACACCAATACTTGAAGATTTCAAGCATTTAAAACTAAGCTACAATTAGTAGACTTTTTAAATCACAGAAAGATCTGAGAATATTAAAAGTGCCCTTTGGGAAACAGGTGTGTGGGGGGAATCTGCCTTTGTAATGTTATCCTAAGTTTTATATTTTATTTATTTTTTATTTTTTAAAATTAAAAAAAAATTTTATTAGTGAAACACCATGAGGTACAGTTGTAGACTTACAAATTTTTGTGCTTGCCTTTCAGTTATACAATGATCCAGTACTCATCCCTCCACCAGTGCCCATTCTCCATCATTTACATTTTTTAAAAATTTTTGTTAGTGAAACACCATGAGGTACAGTTGTAGATTTACGCCCAAAACAGTAACAGCAAGTCTCACAATTTGTTGTGAGATGTTACTGGTGCCCGCTAGAGCAAAAACGATGAACAACAGGAGGACAGTGCTACAGTAAAGTGCTAGTGTAATGGGATAAATATTTGGGTTCTTTCATTAACCACTTGGACATTTGTGTATATTCCTATGTGATCTTGCTGTGTGCACCAGGGCCATTGAAAACAGACTGTAGGTCTGAGTTTGTCTCCTGTTAGTAAAGGGCGATTAGGTAATCCATTACATGGCCTCTCAGTTCATCTTCTCATTAACAGGGATAATGAAACCCACCTAAGTTTGTTGTGATGTTCAAACCATGAACTTGCTCGTAAACATCCCTGGGTTTATGATCAAATGCACCTGTAGGGCCAGTAGCTCTGCACGGGAGTGTGTGAATGTGCATGCATGTGTGTTTTCTATGCTACTGTTAAAAGAAGAAAAAAAGGAAGAAGCACGTGGTTAAGCTTGCTCTCTGGGGGTGGATTCCTCCAGTTTTGTTTCAGTTCTTTTTGCAAGAAGAGCTCAGAATCACAAGGAAACTAACCCCAAAGATGAACCTTCTTTATAAAATCTTAGCCAGCCACCTTTTGATGATCTTCTTTGTTCCCAAAGGTAAATTGGTTTGTGGGTTGATGTGAGAAGATTCTTTGGAGCCCTGAGTCAAAGGAGCTCCGGCTCAGATTTCCAAGGCATTAAGTATTCTGACCTCAGTCTCTGTTTTGCTTTTTTATAGCTAGTGTGGAGACAAATATTTGGGGTGCCCTAGGTGAGGAGGTCTATTATGAAACTCACTTTAAGATCACTGATGATACAGAAGACATACAAATCCGCAAAAATTATTCCAAGATCTTACAGCTCAAAAACGGCAACTGGACTTCATCGGAGAAGGGGAAGTATACGTTTTCCAATAGTGGAACTCTGAAGATTGAATATCTGACAAACAAGGATAGTGGGAATTACTCAGTGAACATATATAACAAGACTGGAAAACATTTATTTGGAAGGGAATTCGTGTTGCAGATTCAAGGTAAGTTCATCTATTGTGTGGATAATGTCCACACTATCTTCATTTGGGGAATAACATTGATGGACTGTCCCAAGCCCAGATGTTGGTTTTGAGAAACCCAAATAGAAGTCAAATGGACCCCTTCTCCTGCCTCCAGTCCTGAGGGAGAGATGGATTCATGCATAAAAATGGAGCTTATGGCCCTTCACATATGCTCAAAACTCTACCTGGAGGGAGGTATAGGGATCAAGGATCTTGTCTTCTGGTGGCATACTCTAGTTCAATCTCAGAGACCATGTATGGTCCCTTGAGCATAGCTGGGTGTGGCTGGGACCCTCCACTAAAAAAAAATCCGCAAGCCCCTCTTAGTAGTAGGGGTCAGAGTCAGTACAGTGGTTAAGTCTCATGTCTTGCACCTGGCTGACCCCAGTTCCATCCCAGGTACCGCTGGAACATTGTCAGGTGCAGGTCTGGAAGCCTGAGCACCACCTGAGTGCCTGAATCAGGCCCACACTAATGGCACAGCTCTACCAATCCTCAGGCTCTTACATGGAACTGCCAACCTGCTAAGCCAAGAATTTCTGGGAGGCCATTCCCAAAATTTAAAAAAAAAATCAAGAAACTTAAAAACAAAATAGTTTGTAGATATAGGATGTGGGATTGAATGAAGAAGTTAAATTATGGGGCCTTAATCAGAGGGAGGGAAACAGGTGGGCCAGGGCAGATGATGGAGTGGACAGAGGTTAGATACAGGGTGATTGGCTGGGGAGAGGGGGAGCAGGGGTCTTCCCTAGAAAGACTGTTTCAAGCCAGCATGCCCTGGAGGAATGGCAGAAAGTTCTAAAAGTAATGAATTTAAGGATGAACCCCCTTGTTTCTGTTCTGCTCAACATCAGAAAGGTCAAAGCTAGAAAGACAGCATTTGCCGAGAATTGGAAAATTGACAAAGTGTGGTGTTGTTTGTCTAAAGCTGCAGCGGGAGGGCAGGATATTGAAGGGTAAGACCAGAAGACTTGCCAGGGAGCTGCTGCTGGAATCCAAGTGAAGGGGGAACAACTGATTCATGGTGGAGCTGTCCTGGTGGGCTTAGGAGGATAGGAACATAGTGGTGGTACTCAAGGGACCATGCAATGTTTGGGTTCCAACTCAGGCTTGAATCTTGAATCTATCATTTGAGCCATATCCCCACCCCCTGGTCCATGGTTCTTTGGGGAGAGGTTAGGAACACATCCAGCCATGCTCAGGGCTTACTCCTGGATCTGTGCTCAGGGATCATTCCTGGTGATACTTAGACCGTATGCAGTGCTAGAGATCAAAACTGGTCAGCGACCTTTCAGGTGAGCATGTTAACTCCTGAACTACCTCTCCACCCCAGTTCAACCCTGGTTGATGTTCCACTCAGCTGAGAAGTTGTGATATTTATCTGTGTTCAGGGCCCAAGATAATTCAACTGAGAAGTTGTTTGACAGAGAGCACAAGCCAGAGATTTGATTAACAAATTAAGGTTTTTGTTTGTTTTAGTGGTGCTCAGGACTCATTCCTGACTCTGCACTCAGGGATTACTTCTGGCAGGACTTGGAGGGAGCATCTGAGGTGCTAGGGATTGAACTGTGTGCAAAGCAAGTATCCTCCCTGCTACACAAAGAGACAAATAAGCATTTATGCACTTCACCAGAAGTGTCACCAGAGGCAGGGATCCCTCTGTGAACCCATAGTCACCCCTCAGACCCATTCTCGCTGCCTTGCAGATGACAGCTTTCCATTGCCTAGTCCTGTAAACTTGAGCTGCTTCAGCATTCCAGAAACGGAGGGATGAGGATGAAGCCAGAGGGTCCCTGCTTGTGGGTTCTGGAAATCCCAAGCTGAGCTCTATGGCATGGTCCTGAGTATCTTGTTGGTGACCCGTGCCGCACAGCCATGTCTCCAAGAGTGTTACAGTCATACCAATGACAGCAGCAGCAGCTGAGCTCAGTCTCCACAAGCCTGCCACTGCTGAGGGCAACTCTCCCTACTTGTTGCAAGGTTGATAGGGTCTTGCCACTGGACAGGAGCAAAGTCGGGACCCAAACCCTCTTCTGTGAACAAGAGTGGGGGTCCTTTCCCTCTCCCAGGGCTGGACTGAGGTATAGGTGATAGGCCGCAGAAATCACTCACCCCAAATGCCCGACTCAATGTTTAGGGTCAATTCAGTTTGGGCAACTGTCACTGTAGTCAATTTTAAAACATTTTTATTTCTCTAAAATAAATTTTGGGCCCAAGGACACAGAGTTTTTTCCCCCTCCTGTGACACAACAGTTTATTCACGCATGTGCAAATGCCACATTGCATTCGGGGTGTAGGGAGGGGACTTGAGTCATACCCATAGTGCTCAGGGATTACTTCTGGCTCTATGCTCCAAAATCTCTCCTGGTGCAGCTTAAGGGACCATGTGGGATGCTTGGAATTGATCCTGGGTTTGCCATGTGCAAGACAAGAGCCCCACCCACTGTAAGTCTCTTAGACCTCTCCATACAGCATATTTTGGCAGTGCTGGGAATTTATTACATTCAATATTCCAACACCAATCCCACCACCATTATACCTTCCCGACCACCATTATTTCAAATTTTCCCACCAACACCCAAGCCAACCTCAAGAGTAGGTCCTAAATAATTTATTTTGTGTTGCTTGTTATGAATAACCCTCTGAAAATGATCCAAAATAGTTTTCTTGCAGGAAAGTGTGTGGATATTGTTGTATCTTACCCTGGATTCACTAAACCCATTTTTAAATGCAGGTCTTTCCACTTTAATGATGATGGTACTGATGATCTTTATATAGGGCTACTCCTGGCTTAGGGCTTAGAGGACACTCCTCACTCTCTTGTGGGACCATATGGTCCTGGGAACAGAACTCAGAGTTTCTACATGCAAAACATGAGCTCTTGCCATTGCACTTTCTCTCCAGCCCTCACACATTAATTCCTTTTATGGAATTTGTGTAATGATCACTATTTCCTGCCCGGAGCCACAAGTTTCTATCTCCTGAGAGTCTGATTTTCATCTAAGTGACTCTTTGGAATATTCAGTAAGTCAAGGGTCTCAGGAGACCACTTAGTAGAGGTGCCCTGCAGCGCCTTAAGCCCAGACTTGTTTTCTAACACTGCCACCTCTACTACCCCTATCTTGTTATGCTCTGTCCTAATACTCACATCTTAGCCATTGCCCCTGGTTGAGGAGGCAGTGAAAGCAGACGTTAGTGGAGAAAAAAATTAGATCTAGAATGACAGCGTTCTCACGCTGTCCAGCTCTTTCTCCCCCAGGAAGCTGCCTTACAGAAAAGAGTGTATGCATGGAGAGAAAACTTCTGAGCTCAGATCCCCGTAGCTTGTAGTACCAAAGTACTGGAAGATTTAAAAGTCCACAGCAGAGACTCACTCTTTAAATTCACAATGATTAGAAGATTGTGATTTAAATTGAGAATACACTAAGACGATAACAGCTGGATGTGAACTTCAAATATCTTCAGATTCAATTTGATTTCTTTCTTCCTTCCTTTCTTCTTTTCTTTCCTTCTTGCTTTTTTTTGGGGGGGGGGGAATCATACCTAGTGGTGCTCTGAGCTTACTCCCAGCTTTATGCTCAGAGATTATGCAAAACTGGAGCTCAGGAATTATAAACCACACAAAGGATTGGACCAGGGTTCTCTGTGAGCAAGACAAATGTCTTAATTCCTGTACTGTAGGATAACACTGTTTCGTCCTTCCTGCATAGCCTCGGGTAGTTTAGGTCTCTTGGGTTGCTCCCATCACAGTGCTCCCATTCCTCTGTGTTTATTTGTAACTTCTTTCTTTGTGCTCTGTTGACTTGTAAGTATTGTTTTTCTCTTCTCCCTAAGTCCTTTGCATAGTTTATTCAGAGCAATATCCTTTTTGTATAGACCCAAGAAGACAGTATATGCTTTTGTAATATGACTCTCAGTGATATTTTCCTCCTGAGCACCTGTTCTCTCACCTAAGTCTCAGCTGCCCTTACTTCCTAGCACCCCCAAAAGCAGGGTCCCGATGAGGGACTGGATGGAACCAGGGCAAGCGGTAAGCTATGTGCTACCCTGGCATCAAGATGGGCCTGGCCAAAGCACCATAATGCTTAACTATAAGTTAAGAGCTTGGTCATGGACAAATGCTGTCATGATCCAAAAAGTAATAACTAGATTTGGACTCTGCTAGGGTTAGGAATGATTAATCTGGCCTGAGTGCTGTACTCTGAGTCTGTGGCAAGATGTTCCCAGGAGAGCTGCCCTACAAGCCTCAATGTTATCTCTTACTGTGTCCATACAAAAATAACTAGTATTGAGATGTTAATAGAGTTATTGGACTAGGGAAAAGAGAAAAATACCTTAAGGGGTATTTTGCCTTTGGGCAGTCAGGAAGGGCTTTGGGGGTGTTCTCTTTGAACTTGATGGGCCCTCAGGAAGGGCTTTTTTATGTTGATTTGGCTACCTGACTGGATGCAGTGTCAGCCTGAAGAGAGAGGGGAGTTGGAGAGGCAAGAGAGGGAGAGAGAGAAAGCAGGGCAGCATGATGGACCGTGGAGAGGCTAGCAAGGGGGACAGAGAGAGAAGAATGTAGAAGAAGAATACAGGAGCAAACACACACACACACACACACACACACACAGAGAGAGAGAGAGAGAGCCCAAGCTGCAAGATGGAGCCGAGAGATGAGCGAGAGAGACAGAGGGAGACAGGAATGAGGAGCAGTGTGAGACCAGAATAGGATGCTCAGAGAGACTGGGGCAGACGTGTGGGGAGAATGGAATAAATGGCAGCGGATCAATAAACTGGCTTGGCTCTCGTTTCATCCACCATCTACCCTATGGCCCGGGCCGCCCCTCCTGGGTGAGTGGCCCGGGCCCACCCCGAATCGCAGGTGGCTAGGGGAAGAGCCGTTGGGGCCCCCCTGGCCATCCTCAAAGATTTTTTACACTGTACTATTTCTACAGCACACCAAAAAATTCTTGTTTTGTTGGGGGAGCACAGCT